AAGGATTCACGTCTCCTCGTACGTATCACTTTTGTGGGGGAGTCACAACCATGCCCTGCACTTCATTTCATGGATAATGAAGAAGACTTTTCGAACACCGCATTAATTAACTCTTTGTCCTGAGCTTTCGGACTCTTACAAAAGTCCATCTCCTGAAGAACAGATCCGGTGCTTGAGAAGTCTTCTTCCTCATCCATGCAAATGGCCGGAACGCGAACACTAACTTTAATTCGGGAACACTTAATTTGTCATGCTATTATGCGTCTTGTTCGTACACAGAATGCTGTGAGTGCAGTCTTGTTGGCGGAAGATGTGCAGGAATATTATAAAGTAAATTTAAGGTATCAGTCATTCTGTCTGCGCTTGTTTCCCCCTCCAGCTGCCAGGGTTTGTATACTTAACGTCGCTTCCTACCGCACGCAGCCCTGTTGGTTTACATCGGATGCGTGAGTAGAGACCCCGCAGGGCAGAAAATTCGCGTGTGGTCGGTAGCATGCGGATGTGCTGAGTCGCGCATGCACGGCGTAGCCGAGCCTGTGGCATAGTTCTCGGTTACGCACGAACGTGGACCGGCTTCTTGGCTGCAAACCGAGTTTTCGTGACTTACCAAACTCCTAAACGGAAGGGGCGGGGCGTTAACCTACTTCGCAGCCTTTGCGTGTTCTTGTCGGATTCTGGTGGATCATAGGCGTCTGAGGGGGAGGAGGGTGGTGAGAATCAAGAAACGTGATTTAAATGAACACAAGTTTCCCGGTAAGGAATTGCGTGCTGATCTCGTCCTCATGATTGCTGATGCTGATAGTTGTGTAGATTTCTTGCTTCACGTAAGCTTTGCCAAAATTCGATTTGACAAACGGATGGATGGTAGACGTTTTGGCTACTATTTTATGAGCTTGAGTGCACATATTTAGTTTAAGTCAATGCACTTGGTCTTGGATCCGTGCGCATTTGCGTAAGCAAACAAGTTAAGAAAGACACATCGTCACCCAGTGTGCTTTGCATTTATAAAACCACCTTTTTCTGATAGCCATATCACCAAATCCCCCATATAGAGCACTCGCTGTCAATCAAAATAAACAAAAAATGCAGTAAAGCCTTATCCATATTTTTTCAAACCAAAGTTAAATTTAACAACTACTACTGCAAGTGTACGCATGGCTAAAATAATTTAAAAATCCGCCAGTGACAAATGAACTTTACACAAAACTAATTATATTTTTCACGTATTTGTTCGCTTTCTTGACAAAAAGAACGCTTTTATCTATCTCCTTTCAAGCAGGGGATGCTTATGGCTTGCGTTGTGCCAGATGTCGATAAATGCAGCGCCGACTCCGGAAAGGGTCAGAGCGACGACGACGTATTTCTGCACGAAGGTTGGTTCTTCTTGAAAATAGAAAATGTCATGCACAGTTTTCTGATGACAAATACCTATCACAGTGTTTAAAAATATTTGACAGCCGTTTTTCATATTTCTAGATGTTGCATGTTAAAATACGTCAACATTGGGTGTCCGATAAAGGTCTTTTCGATAAATGGCATACTACCACCTTTGCAGGGTTGCTTTGAAAGATCCGACAAATCATTTTTGTGCATAGGTTAAAAAGGGCTTGCAGGTTTGTTTTGGACTGATGAAGCACTTTAACACAATGCTTATAAAATTAATAAATATTAATAATAAAGTAAAATATGTCTTAAATTTTGCTACGTGGTTTCGACCCCCAGCTGAACTATTTATTCGTATTATTATTAAACTTAATATTTCCACATATCTGTACACATATGTACGCAAATAGACCTCACGGTACAAAATGATTTCACTCCAGCTATTAAAAGTGTCATCAAGAGAGTTGCAATTCTGGAAAACAAAAGATTTATACTACTCAGTGTTTCTGACACCGGTAGCGAGTGGACTTCAAAGAGACCCATATGCTAAGACAAATGATTATATGTTTATTTGTTAAAAAATGAAAAACAAAATCAATCGTGACAAAAGAGATCTCTAGCTTTTTATGTCTACAATGGCATATGGCTTTCCTCTGTACTTAGAAAAAAACTTTCGTCCATTATGATTAAATGTTGGATAGTAAAAAAACGCATTAGGCAGAAACTACAGTAGGTGTTCTGTTGAATTGTAATATATCCTAACAACTGCGCGGTTTTCGCATTGTCCATATTTTCAGAAATAGACGATTAAATTTTACGAGTCCTGTTTTAATATTGCAAGAAAAGTACATTTTTTTTCCATTCTCGAAGCGGAACTTTTTCGGGCAAAAGCCGGCGCTTTTTTGCACTGACCGCTGAATTGCCTTTCATGCCTGCCTTGTCTACATACTCGGCCAGTCGGTGATCGCGTGCTCTGGGTTCGTATTTATCCACGCGCCTTATTTAACTGAATGTTCTCTCCAACTCAAATGAATTTCCCCCGGCTTTTAGCGGTAAAACTATAGCGTGTTGATATGCAGAGATGCTGATTCACACTCACATTTCTTCTACAACAAATCAAAATGAATGCTATTCCATAAATGAATGGAGAAAAGTCATGTCTTATTTTTTAAATACTATGATAGTTAGGGAATCTGCTGATCAAAACATTTATTGGGTTTCAACCTAGAACTCTCTTAGTCAATTGGTGATTAGTCAGATATATAAGAAGGTGGATAAGTGCAGTAAGTTGCATTCCGATATGATATGGTGAAAAAAGAGATCTTCGGAAAATCGAGTTGTACTCGTGAATTTTCGATCAGGTATCACTTGTTCGTCATCACACTAAATGAAAAGTGAAGGCTGGGAATGTCGCACTAGAGGTTTCGAGGGCAGAGGTTGCAACGAACTGGGTGAGATTGGGCGGGAGGGTCACGGTGACGGCACTCCTGCAGCAATAGGTTGTGATGGTGAGAAGAGGCAGGCGTTAACGTTTAGATTGCTGATCACGTGTTCGGGGGAGAGGGGGGGGGGTTCAGAGTCAGTAAAATTCTACTTGACCGAGCACGGACAGCCTGCTGTTGTTTCAGGCTGGGCGCAGGTTAGTAGACCATGCGCGAAAACCGGCATAGTTTGAGCCAAGCTCTACGTATCTGTTTATACTAGGTGGACTCGAGTACCAACCTTCGATGAATTCTCTCGGTCGCCACGTTTTAGCCATGGCGATCACCTCGGTACCATTCCAACTGAATCGGTGATCACACTCAAGGGAGTGCGCAAATACGACTGATGAAGGGTCCCGTCAGCGAACGGTTAACTTAGGTTCCTTGATGCGACTTTCAAGACCTCGGCCTGTTTGGCCAATATAAACACATGGTATGCGGCAAATGAAGTTACTGAGTTGTTCCACGTGTAGGGTGTCCTTTACTCGACATAGGCTTGCGTGCAGTGAGGATGCGGGCTTGCAGTTGACGGAGATGCCAAAATGATTAAGTTGCCAAAAAATGGTTTCAGATATTCCATTCATGTAAGGTAGAGAATAAGATTTCTATGGCACTATTCTTCCAGTGAGAAGGAAGTTTTTTGCTTGACCCGGCACCTAAGGCAATGTTTAAAAAACCTTGTCGGATATCCGCTGACCCGGAAGAATTTATACAAATACGTTAGTTCTCTCTTCAGCAAACCATCATTACTGCAATAATGGTAAGTCCGTTCAAATAGAGTACAAACACAACTTCTATTTTGGGCCGCAGCGTAGTTACTCCTATAGCTGAGGGTGCTTTCTGCAGTGGAGTCCTTTCGGTAGGCGCTTTTTGCGAGTTCGCCATCGGTGGGTCTTTGTATTCTCACGGACAACGGAGACTGTGATGGTTATTCAGCTCGGTTCGAATTCTCAATCTTCTAGATCGGATATTGTATGCGTCTGGCTAACGACAGTTAATAAGTACGAAGTGAACACCTCGGTATTCAATTTTTGTTTGAATTGTGTTCACCGCACGTCTGTGTACTTTTATATCACAGAGCTAGTAGAAAAAACGCATAAAATAGAATAGCAGATTGGTTACCTTTAAATTAATTTTTTTCTCCATTTTTTTTCAAGGAATTCCATCCAAACTCCCTACCGGATTCATCTACGTACCGGTTTGTTCGGGCCTGGATTCCTTAAGGTTAAGGCCAAACACAGAATTTATCGCCGTGAAAGCCAATCAGCTTCCAACAACAACCACGTCTGGAAACGTATGAGGCTTCACAGCTTGCCAGTTGGAATGCGGAGGCCAAATAACACAGCCTCAGTTACGCGCATGTATGTTCAAGGTGTCCATCTTCCTCTCCCAGCGGACGCCCTCGTCAAGTCCTTATGAGACCTCACAGTAAAAGCCCGAAGCGAGGGCAGTTGAAATATGAAGTGTACCACTTTCCCAATCCATTCCGGACAATGCTACCACTAAGCAAATGACAGTACTTACATTTGTAAACCCAAATGGAAAAAAACAGCTCCTTCAATCCGTTTACTTATGCAAAGACGCACGACTGTACAAAATCAAACAACGATTTTTATTCGTGCGCTATAGTTTTACTTGTATTCATGAAAAGTATAGCATTTTGTGAACCAAAAAATGAGATCAGCATTGGGATTTTGACAGTTTTATTATCTGACAGTGGCCGAACATCAAAATGAGGAGAATACATTGAAAAGCGACATCACTAGGGCAAGGATATCACTCGATAAATTAAACTCCGGCGCACCTATGCAGGCCTAGATTTGTGCCCTAAACAGACAAGGCTCGTCTTCTTTGGTTACAAGGCGGTTAAGTAAGCCATATATTCGTCTATTTTACAGATATTGCCTATAGGTTTTTCGTTCTGCTTTTGCAAGCCTCGTGGAAAAAATTTTGGCTTGTCTACAGTTATATGAAAATAAAAAAAATTGCAATGAGGTATTTTGACCGCTTTAGTTAGTTGCTACGGAGACGGGCTTTTGTAGCACCTAACACACTCTCTTTTCGCTCGTACACTCTAACTCGATGGGAATACAAGGTCAGATGTGTTGGTTTTTAAAACCAATGAACGGCCCCTCTGAGCCTGACATCGAATGATCTGGTATCCACGGCATGTACGTGGTTTCTCTAATGGCAGCTCGAAACTCACATGCGCGAACTTTACGTAGTGGTCACAGTACGAATGGTCACAGTAAGAATGACCAAATTAGCTTTCAACTTTCACCTCTGTAAGCCCTAGCTGATTGATTGTCGTGATATGTCGAAGTACGTCAAATTTATTATAGTGAAGATTGCTTTGCTGAGCCGTACGCATGGA